CAATCAGAGTCACAGAATGCTTGAAGAGTTAGTGAGGATGATGAAGGAAATATGAGGCCTTATCCTGGTGCTAACTTGAGATATCTGATCACTTTATGAGCTGCTGATAGGTGTGTAAAAGAGGGAGCTTCTATGTACTGATTGAGATTTTGAATGGCATAGCATATATTTGGTCTAGCTAATGACAAATACATCAACTTTCCAATCAATTTTCTGTAAATGGTGGGATCTGGCAGGGGCTTTCCTATATCCCTTCCTAACTTCAGCTTTTGATCCATAAGTAACCGAACTGGTTTACCCCCAAGTAATCCAAAATCAGCCAGTAAGTCTAAGGTATATTTGCGTTGGGAAATATACCTTAACTTACCTAATGCCTTGATCTTGAATTTACTGTTGAGAAACCTTTGAATTATGTCTATTTGTTCCAAACTTGAGCATATTATAACAATGTCGTCTACATATACAAGTAAGGCTATAAAAGAACAATTTGTTACCATAGTAAAGAGACTGTAGTCAGCTTTAGATTGAGTGAAACTAAATTCTATGAGTGCTATAGAAAAGGTAGAATACCATTGCCTTGAGGCTTCTTTCAAGCCATAAATGCTTTTCGGTAACTTGGAAACCTGATTGGGATTTCCTTTAGTATAGCCAGGGGTTTTTTACATATATACTTCTTCATGTAAGACTCCATGTAAAAAGGTATTACTTGCATCAAATTGCTTTAGGTGGCAGTTTCGAATTGATGCTATGGCTAGTAGGCATCGAACAGTTACCAGCTTTGCCACAGGTGAGAAGGTCTCACCATAGTCTATTCCTTCCCTTTGCGTATACCCTTTTGCCACAAGTCTTGCCTTATGCCTTTCAACACTGCCATCTGAATTATACTTCAGTTTATATACCCATTTGCAACCAATCGCTGCTTTGCCTGGTGGAAGGTCAGTGAGGGTCCAGGTTCCATTCAACTCAAGTGCTTCTAATTCAGAATTCATTGCTTTACACCAATTTGAATCAGTCACAGCTTGATGATAGGTACCAGATTGAGTGTGTGTGCAAATGGAAGTTGAGAAAGCTTTGAATTTAGTTGACAACTTGTGGTACGAAATAGTATTGGAAAAGGGGGAAGGCCTTACTTGCTGAGTCCAGAATTTTACCTTGAGAGAGGATTAGATTGGCTGAACTGATGACAATGAAAATCTTGCAGGTATTGAGAAGCCTGGTAGATTTTCAAATGATGGGTGGTGCTAGTGGTGGTGTTTGAAGATTTTCATCAAGTAGTGTTAAAGGAGTTTCATCAGGTGCAGGTTACTGGATATCCCCTGATCAGATAAATGTGTTCTAGGTGATGAAGGAATGTCAACGGGCATTGATTCAGGTGTATAGTTGATAGTTTCTGGAACATGTTTGGTGAAGACAAACTTAGGTTCATCAATGGGTTTGGCGGCCTGTTTGTAAAGAAAATAGGCTTCATGGAATGTGACATCTCTAGATATAAAAATGGCTTTTGTTTGCAGGTCTATGACTTTGTATCCTTTAACCCCAAAAGGGTAGCCTAAGAAGATACATTGGTGCCCTTTAGGATCAAACTTTCTTCTCCCATGTGTTAATGTGGAAGCATAGCAAAGATACCCAAAAATTCTAAGGTGAGAATAGTTAGGTGCGAATTGAGATAACATTTCAAATGGTGTTTTATTTTTCGACAAAGGTGTGGGGGTTCTATTTATCATGTATGTGGTTGTGAGGATGAACTCATTCCAATAGGATAAAGAGAATCCTGGCTGGTATTTCAATGCCCTTGCAATATTCATTAAATGTTGATGTTTCCTCTCAACAACCCCATTTTGTTGAGGGATTTCGACACAGCTTCTTTGGTGAATGTCCCCTTTAGAATTCAGTTTGTTTAAATTCAGGTCCACTATCACTTTTCAAGACTTTAACTGAGGTCTGAAACTGGTCTCTATCATTTGGATGTATGTTTTAATAGAATTGCAAACATCAGATTTTCTTTTTAGCGCATATACCCAGACAGCTTGTGAAAAATCATCTACTATAGAAAGAAAATATTTAGATCCATCGTGAGCTGTGGTAGGGCAAGGACCCCATATGTCACAATGAATAATTTCAAATAGTTGTTTAGTTCTATGTGTGCTTATAGGAAAGGGTTCCTGTATTGCTTTGCCAATGGACATATAAAACATGGAACTTTGGTGGTTTTCTTATAATGAAAAGTAACACAATTATCTGAAATGAGTTGCATCCTAGAATCTGACATGTGTCCTAGACGGTAATACCATAAGTGTGGCTGAACATCAGAGTTAATAACAGAGGTTGCAGCAAGAGGTTTTCTAAGATTTAAAACTGATAGGGTGGTCATCAAAGCTGTAGGTGAGACACTCTGGAGCATGAGTCGATACAAGACACACCATGTTTCACCCTTCCCAATCGGCTTCCAAGACAAAAAGTCCTGCAAATAGCAAGTATCAGATAGAAATATCAGGCAACAATTCATCTGTTGTATCAATTTCTTAATTGATAGAAAATTGAAATGAAAGTTAGGACACATAGCGCATAATTTAAAATCAGTGAATCGGTGAGTTTAACAACACCAGAGTGTGTAGCTAGTACAATTTCACCAGTGGGTAATTTAACTGATAGGCATGTTTTGACTTAACGGAGGTGTAAAAATTGGTATCATAGATCATATGATCTGTGGCACCTGTATCAATGATCCATGAGGTGCTTGTGAGGTCACGAGTGTGTGTGGGTTGTGCAAATAAACAAACGGTTTTACCAGATAAATCAGATGGGGGGTTGATTTTTGAATGATCAACAGTTTTGTTACGAGTCAATATATGAAAGCGACACGTGGCACTGTATTTTAGCGGTGGGACCAGCTTAATTAAATCAAGACATATTCTCCTAAACTCAGAGGTGAATTCCGAGGCCACCACTGTTATTCCGAGGCCACTGCTGTTAACAATAAGCCACCGTTCGGTGAGCATACATCGTCCGAGGCTCCTTAGTAGCTACTGAAGACCCACATGTGAAGATCTATTTATGATGAAGATCTTTTGTGAATGATTGACGTGACTCTTATGCAAAGTTTATTTATATCTTGTCTTGTCAATGTAAGAGCTTCGTCCTTTATCGATTGGTTTCTCATACTATTGTATTACATTTTCTTGCCGATAGCCTGAACGGAAACGTCTCGTGCCTTTGAGTCACTCCCACGCCCTTTCTCTGGAGCCATCTTGACCGTTGATCGGCATTAGCATGTTGGACCAAGCTTGCGTGTGCACGAGTGGGCTCGGCATCTGTTGGCAACATTTTTTGGGGTCAACAAGTTTGCACATGATTGACAGAGTGATTTTCTTGTGAATTATCCTTAGATCGGAGCAAGGCAAGGAATTCTTCATATTGCCCTTTAGTTAGGGAGACTGGCCTTTCACTTTCCTTTTGTACTACATTGGACTGGTTGGCAAAAGTCCCTTCTCTCCTCTGAGTTCTGTATAGTTTATGGTTTGGGGGATAACCATTAAGCTTAAAACACTTTTCCATAGAGTGTCCTATCATATTGCAATGTGTACACAGAAGAGCTTCAGTATTGCCTGCTTTAAAACATTTGTCTAAGGTGTGTCCTGGGATATTGCAAAAGGTGCAATATGGTTTGTCCTTCCTCCCAGCTACATTGGATCTTCCATAGCTGGGTGATCTACTATTTCCATAGTATCTTTTGGTTGCCAATGCAATGGTTTCATTGTTAATGGCGGTAGAAGTAAGTTGCTTTTGCCTCTCCCGTTGCTGTATGTAGGAGAATACTTTGTTAACTAGTGGAAGGGGATCCAGCATCATGACTTGAGCTCTAGTATTAAGTTTTCCATAATAAATACTTACAGAATCATTTTCTTGATCCAGATCTGCCAATGCCTTCTTCAACTCATATATTCTGGGGCCATTTTGCTGGGAAAATCTGTCCTAAAGTTCTGACCAAATTTCATTAGCCTCATCCATGAAGGCAACACTGGATCTGAGTGAAGGGGATATAGCATTTTGGATCCATGATACTACCATGTCATTGCATCTTCCCCATGGATCGAAGGCATCACTGGTCTATTCAGGTTTAGGTAGCGCCCTATTGATGAAACGGAGTTTGTTTTTAGCTTGAAGTGCTCGCCGAAGTGCCCTTGACCAGGTAGGATAGTTGTCCGTGGTCAGTAATTCTGTGACTAAGATGGCTCCTAGGTTGTCTGAAGTTTCCAATTTGTATTGTTCAGAAATTTCTGCAGCAGCGGGAGAGGAGCCGTGTTTTCACTACCAACAGAATTCATATCAGCAATGGTTGTCATTGCTCTCATACCATGTAAGAAATCAAATGGAAATGAAGATGATGAAGGAGGCTGATGATTGAATTTAATCAGTATTTTTCTTCATACTAAATCGTGAATACAAGGGCCAATACATAAGATGTACAAGAGGGTAGAAAGGTAAAGAATCATTCTAACAAACTACATAAGAAAAGGAATATTTATTCTGCCTAACCATGTGCAATCTATAAAGCTGGCATGACACCTGGATTGATAAGCATGTTGCCTTATGATGTATGTGCATACCTAGCTGATAATACATTGCTCACGGTAGAGCTGAGCTGATAGGTGTACTGCTGATAAGTATGCTGATTTTCTCTGTTTTAACAATTTTCAAGGCCACAACACAGCTACAACAAGCCACAATACAGAATTGGCAGGTAAAGAGAGCTTAAAAATAATTCAGAATGATTGCCAGATTCTCTGCAATAGCAAACAATAATTAGCTTTTGATAGATGATTAAAGTTTGGAAGGAGTCATTAAGATGCATGCATGTAGTCAAAGTAAATTAATAGTGAAATAGAGAACAGGTTCTGATTGCATTAATGAAGTTTTACTTCAAAAATTCATCGTTTTGTATTCGCATTAATTGGAAAAATCATACATGATAAGAAACAAACCTTTTCATCTTATTTTGCCTAGGATATGCTTTTGAAATATTCATTTCTGATCTTCTTGAGCCTGATTAGAACATCTTTCATATTGGGCCTCTCCTCGGGTAATTCCTCCGTGCATTCTAGTGCTAGTCCCATGATTGATTTGAAGAAGCTCTCTTTAGCTTGAACATTTTCTTCAACTCTATTCACTAGATCAATATCGACAATCTGCGTTATTGTATTTGGGAATGATTCAAACACCCATCTCCTCATAGTGAACTCTCCGTCAAATATATCAGATGTTGGCTTCTTTTTGGTAAATGTCTCAATCAGTACAATCCCATAGCTGTAAACATCTGTCATAGTCGATATTAATCCAGTTGATCCATACTCTACAAAATTGGAATGTGCGATCAGATTAACAAGTGAAATGTTAAACAATAGATAAATAAATAAGAATTCGAAAATAGTAAATAGAACCGTACGAAGAAAGCATAATAGAGCTTTTCCCTTGAAGTACTTGTGACAACAATCTAAAACAGTGCTTTATCCTCTTTCATATATTTCGTTTCACTTGTTTGAATTATGGAGAAGTAGGTAGAAGAAAAAAACAAGAACAAGAATAAAAGATGAAACGATATATAATCTAATTATATAAATTTTGTTTACTTATTTATCGTACGAAGATTAAAAAATTACAAAGCTACATCGTTCAATTGTCCTATTTATGAACAATTATGGAAGCAAGAGTGATGCTTTCACTCTAAATATTTTGTTAGCATAATACGTATATAACATAACTCCATATATAAATAGATGATAGAACCTTTTACCTGGTGCTATATATACAATGGTGCCCAACGTTTTGGTCAGTGAAATCCTCTGGTCTTCCGTGAAGAGCTTGGTTTTAAAAGCTTGGAAATGCCAAAGTCTCCAACATGTGCAACCATATCTTCATCTAAAAGTATGTTGCTGGGCTTCAGATCACAATGCACAATTGGAGAGGGATACGCATGATGTAGGTACTCGAGTGCACATGCTACATCGATCGTTATTTCCAATCTTTGAGCTATATCTAGGCAATAGGTGCTAGAGGACAACCACTTGTTAAGGTTCCCATTAGGCATATATTCTAACACCAAGGCTTTGAGATCAAGATTAGAACAACTGCTGATTACCAAGAGAAGATTTCTGTGATGGATATTGCACAATATTTGACACTCATTATCAAAACTCTTTTTTGCACCTTCTAAATCTAAATTGAAAACCTTAATAGCAGCAATCATTCCATTGGAAAATATTCCCTTGTATACTGAACCAATGCTGCCGCTTCCAATCAGATTTTCTTCACCAAATTTATTGGTAGCATTAAGAACTTCATAATATGGAATCCTCTTGACATTGAAGGCAATGGAGGAACTACACCGAGTTGGAAGAAATGAATTTCTAGTATGACGTCTCATCAAACAAATGATTATAATGGACGGATATGCCACCAAAGCAATTAATGGTAAAATAAATTTCAAAGCAGTGATTGTTCTTGATGATGGAGTTGTATTGCTTTTGCAACATGGCACCTTGTATTGAGATGCTCCACACACTTCACTATTGCCTGTGAATGAATCTGCAGTTAAGTTGTTAAAAGGCCCTCCATTTGGAATTTCACCACTGAGTTCATTGAATGAAACATTAAAATGTACAAGGTCCTTAAGTTTCTCCATTGACTTGGGGATTGCACTGACTAAGTGGTAGATGTACGTACCGTTGAGGCCATTGAAACCCAAATGTAATACTGCAAGTGTTGATAGGTTTCCAATTTCATTTGGAATATTGCCTGTTATTCCATTCAAAAGTATAGACTTTAATATAACAAGTATCACATTACTGTTACAAGGATTTAATAAAAGGAAAGAAGTATCAACCATTTAGGCATTGTTTGGTAACATTCTGATTTACTGAAGAGCCTCATGAGGAATCCACCTTGAGTTAGTTTCCTTTAGATGCACTTCTAGCTAGACGAATCACTCACACAAAACTATCCAAAAGTTGCTTTTTAATCACAAGAAATTCTTCGCTTTTCAAAAGCCTTCCAAACGGGCCCTTAGAAGTCGATAATTAAATACTTGTGAAGTCATTGTGTCTCAATTTGAAAATTGATGTGCTGATAAAGTTTTCAATTCCATTCAGAATACTCCCTGTGAATTCATTGCCAGAGAAATTAAAATTATGAAGTGCATGACACTGAAGTAGACTTGGAGGTATCTCCACATGAATTTGTTGTGACTAAGGTCTATGATCTCAAACATTGCAGGTTGGTTACATGGATCTTCGGGAAACTTTCCAGAAATTTCGTTTTCTCCAATCCATATTTTCAGTAAAGATTGAAGATAAGTGGCCTACGAAACATGTCTTATAGTTACATAATTTCACACACTTTCCTTAAAATCAATTACGAACAGAATATTATAAGAGAGTTTAACTCCTCGTAGCTAACATGCCTTGTGCCAAAATCTTGTCAATATATGCCTATTGTTGTCACGGTGGGACGTTCCACACTTTACATTAAGTCCTACTCTATATTGTTTACTAAATATGCATCGCAAGACTCCAAGAGCATCAACATTTATGCAAGTAAGAAATATTTATGATGTACAGGGACAATCTTTTGTCAATTTTTGGAAAACATTATCAAAATTATTGTGTATATGGCCAGAGCATTAAACGTACCTATCAAATTATTGTGTGCTAGATAAAGAACTTCAAGCTTTGACAAATTTCCATTGGAATGCTTCCCGTAAACGTATTGATGTCCAAAGAAAGTAGTTTAATATTCGTGCATGTTCCCAAACTTGGAGGAATGTTGCCACTTATTTGATTCATTGAAATTGTTAGCATCTCTAGCTTTGGAAGACTATAGCAGATATCCATCGGAAGACTTTCCGAGAGACTATTGTTTGCAAAATCAATTTCTATCAAAGAAGAGATGTTGAAAATCCTGTTAGGAATATTCCCACTGAGCCTGTTATTGTAGACATTTAACTTGTGTAGATTTTTGAGAAATCCAAAACTTGATGGAATAGAACCAGTTAACTCATTGTACTGCATCTCTATTTCTCGAAGTTGGCTTAAATTACCCATTTCATCAGGGACAATACAATGAAAATTATTATTGCTAATAACCAAGGATCTCAAGGAAGAAAGATCACCAATTTCTTTAGCTATAGTACCTCCTAGACCCATATTTACTAGATTTAAGTCCGTCACTCTTTGGTACCTCCCACCACAAGTAACACCAATCCAATTACAGAAAGAGGCCTCGAGACCAGTTCTTGGCTAAGATTCTATTTGGATAAGAAATTATATGAAATTTTAAAGCTAAGAGAGCATACTCATCAGTGGAGTTATTGAGGGATGTTGCAACATACATAAACAAGTAAAGGATTGCCGTCAACATAAAGATCACATTCTTTCCCATGGCTATTTTGAAATGTAAAAATAAGGTTGAAAGGGAGCCTGAAATAAGGTGTTTGATATAGGTGTATAGATAAATATGAAATAAAAATTGCGACTAAGATATATATAAAGGTGAAACGTAATTTATGGTCAACAATTGCTTGGGATTTTATCTCGAGTGGTGCTCATTGCTTCAGTATGGGCTCCACTTCTTATATTTGCCTATCAAATTCTTCATAGTATGTGTTGGGTTGTCACAGCTTGGACGTGGTTCCATGTCCCTACGTCCCCGTTGGTTTGGTCGCCGCAGATTTGAAGGGGGAAGAGGGGGCCTTGGATTCTAGACGTCCCCAACATCTTACCATATGGTGCTAAAAGTCTCGAATTAAGGGTAAGCTCTAGAGAAGAACCCTTGCACACCAAATCCCAATTCTTCTAGTTGAATATGGAGAGTTTATTTACCTTCGTTACTCATTTATCTATGAAAAAAAAGTACCTATTAGGAGAATAAACATAGCTAATAAAACTGTGCATTTCATCAAAACATAGAACTATAAAACCTGAATGTTTTGATCTTATGTTAGGCTAGATATGTTAGAATAATAAGATTGATTAAATGCATTTGATGTGTCCGCTCTTTATTTAATAGATACGTTTTTATAGAGACTCATATGGATACAGGTTTGTCTATTCATGTGCTTGTGTGTTAATGAATCACATAAGGAGCAACGGGGCCTGTCCTGAAATTTTGGATGTTATGTGCGACATTTTAAAATGATGCCCCTTTCATGAAATTAGAAAAAAAAAATTCAATAATATTATATCATTGCAAAATTATGATATTTGAATACTGTTTATTTTTTCAAATGTCGTGAATAAGAAAAGTACAAATAAAATTAAAAAACACCACCCAAAGTTCATCAAAATTCATGTCATCAATAAAGAATCAACCAAGCCCCTAAACTTTTTGTGCAATTCCATGTGAGAAAACTTTGAAAAAAAAAAAAATATCAAATACCACATGTAAACTTTGAAATACAACAAATCATGTAAAAATATTTCTTCTTACATTTCTAGAAGCAAACTAATTAAACTTTCGTTTCTAGCAAATATTGTTGAATAGATATCAAAACTAGGCTATTCAATCGTTCTTATAATATTGTTGATTGTAAATAATATTTTAATAACTTCAATTTTGAAAAATTTCTTTCGGCAGATGCAACAATAAGATTAATTGTCACTAATACTCTATAAGCAATAAATGTATTCGAAAAACGATCCAATCTTTTCAAATAAGTCAATATATCAAAAACTGTATTTGTTTCGCAAAATTTTTAATTCTTGTAGCAAATCTTTGCCATCAAGATTGCAAAAATTTACATGTTTTAGAACAATGTCAAGATGATCATAACATGCTTTCAAATCAGTATCACCCAATACGTTTAATTTGTCAAAAGAAAATAGAAATTCAATTTTTTTCTCACGTGAATTGAATTGATTGAACCTTCGTTCAAGTTATCCAATTACTTGATCTACTATATAAAAAAAAAAAAAAAAAAAATTGGTTATGAAAGAATCTTCAAGTAATTGTGCGTCCTCTATAATGACATTTTTATCTAAATGTTTCTTCCTACGAATTATATTTTTTCCTCTTTTCCATTTTTTTTGACATTATTTAAAGTACGATACTATTTAAAAAAAATATATAACTAGATAATTATATTAATCTTAGCTTTAGTATCTTATGCAATTGCATATCATACCAAGTCAAATGCATACAAGCAATAAAGAAATAATCCTTAAATGAAAATAGTTAACCACAACACATTGAAATTAGCTATGAAAGAGCTTAAACCATCCGAATCCTTTCACTTGCTTTAATAAAAATGTCTTGGTATGATATACAATTAGGAATAAAAAACACAACAATATTAAATAAAAATAATCATTTGTCTATCTTTTAACTCATTTTTCATAAACATTGTGCCCTTTAACTTAATATAATAATTAAAATTTTAAATTTTAAATTTAATAAATATTTTAAAATTATACACACACACACATACAAGTAACAAAATTATGAGATATTCTTCAAGATTCTTTTAAAAGGGGGTTGATAAAGTGAATAAGGTACATCTCCAAACATTAAGAGGGGAATTCGAATCCCTACAAATGAAGGAATTCAAATCTGTTTCGGATTATATCTCATGAGTTTTGGCTATTGTCAACCATATGAGGAGATATGGGGATGACATGAAGGATGATTGGGTTGTTGGAAAAATTCTACGATCCTTAAATCCACGATTCAATTATATTGTCGTTGCCATTGAAGAGTCCTAGGATTTGGACCCCATGACCATTGAGGAGCTTGCCAGGTGCTTGCAAGCTCATGAAGAACGATCGAAAAAACCAAAGCAAGAATCGGTAGAGCAAGCTTTGCAAGCAAAGCTTCTATTGAAAGAGAAAGAGGAAAGAACTGGCACGTCTCAAAGAGGTCGAGGACGTGGAAGAGGTCATGGTTATGGAAGAGGCGGACGACGCAACAACCAACCTTCAAATAATGAGGAGAAAAGCTGAAGTTTCAATCGAAGAAGAGGTCGTGGACGACACAAAGGAGGAAGTTTGAGGCAAAATCAAGGAAGGTATGACAAATCAAATGTTGAATGTTATACTTGTCACAAATATGACCATTATTCTTGGGATGCAAAAATAATGTGGCCGAGAAAACTAACTTTGTGGAGAGCAAAAATGAAGATGGAGATCCCACTTTTCTTCTCGCTTGCAAAAGTGATGCAAATGAAGAGAATAATCAGTGATATCTTGATTCCGGTGCATGTAGTCATATTTGAGGAAAGAAAAAATTATTTATGGAGCTTAATGAATTCATTGGCGGAAATATCACTTTCGGAGATTCTTCCAAAGTTCAAGTCAAAGGAAAATGTATTATTTTAATCAACTTGAAAAATGGAAGTCACCAATTCACTTCTAATGTGTTTTATGTGCTGGATATGAAAAGTAGCATTTGAGCTTGGGACAACTTTTGAAGAAAAAATATGATTTTCACTTGAAAGATAAAAGTTTTGACTTTGAAATAGCAAAGATGAAAAAACGAAGAGAGCAGCTTAAGGATCCCATTACCTTTAACAAGGGCTCAGAGAAGACTTCCAAGCATTTGGTAGAGTTGGATAATAAACTGCTGAAACTTGGTTAAAGAAATGGGCACGGAAGAGGAAGTGGTTCTTGAATTAGGTAGCAGTCACTGGCACATCTCGTACCTCATTAACTAAGAAATGGAGCTGATGTCCAGGTTCGAGTGGAAATTGGTTGTTCTCGAGCAAGTTTACATTCAAAATAAATAAATAAATAAATAATGATAATAATAATAATAATAAATAAAAAATGAAATGACAGGATTTCGTTAGAAATCTCTTTTCATGTAATAACATGTGACCAATTGTTTAGTTGATTGTAACCAATAAATTGGTTAATTTTGTGATCAGTAAATAATATGTGACCCAAAAAATGTAATTGTGACTTATAACTTATTAAATTGTGATCGAAAAATAACTTTTGACTAATTAATTTGATAATTTGTGATCGTTAAATAAATTGTAACTTATAAAATTTGTTATTTGTGACTGATAAATAAATTGTGAGCTATAAAAATTTTTATTTTGTGACCGATGAATAAATTGTGATCTAAAAAAAATTATTTGTGATTGAATAATAATTTGTGACCAATTAATTTGATAATATGTGATAGAAAAATAAGTTGTTTCCTACAAGTACGTAACTGTGACTATAAATTCTATAATTGTGAACTTAATATATTTAATTAATAAAAAATATTTTTAATTAATTACTTCATAAATAAATTTTAATTAATATCTGATTTTTGAAGTTTTAAACTTTATTTTTTAGTTTTGAAATGTTCCATAATTAATCTCTCAGTTATGAAATTTTCCCAAATAATATAGGTACTAACTTATGTAAGCAATTACAAAGTTGACAAAAGTTCATCGATAGCAGTTGAAACCTGTATATGGACTCCCAATTAATACAATATCAAAGATAAGAGATGGAAGTTAGATGTATGTATAGTGTAGGACTCGTTTGATAAAGTTCTAGTAGATTTTGATAAAAAAACCCGATGAAATATTTGATTGAAAAGTTGATAAAATCTCCAATGCCCGAGTAATTAAAAAAAAAAACTTGTGATAAAACTATTATTTAAATCAGAATCAGAATTTGACAATTCAGTAACTATTCACTGTCAAAATTTAGGCCCTGTTTGATAGCCTCTATTTTTCTTGGAAGTTTGAATTTTTTTTCCATTTTCTACATTTTTAGTTGTTTGATAGGTATAATTTTCTTGGGAATTGGTTTTCCACTTGGGGTGCTCACGTGACCCATTTTCTTGGAAATTGATGAAATTTTTTTCCCACCATTTTGGTTGGAAAGTTTTTCCAGGATGCTGCTGCTGCTGCGTTTTTTTTTTTTTTTTTT